TTTATAACACTATGAAAAACACAGAACGAAAAAATAAGAAGGTCTAAAAAAATTTTGGACCTTTTTTTGCAGAAATGGTAACTTTTTAAACCAATTTTGGTACAGGAAAAAAATATTTCAAGTGGCAACCGTGTATAGAATATTGTAAAAGAAGAATACTGCCTATCTACTTGTGTAACTGCTAATAAGCAAGCAGAAACGCCCAAGTCGCGTATGGAACATTCAGATTCAGATTTCGAGTAAATCAGGTCGATATATATACAGGATTTGGGTCAATACAAAATAATATGCGTAATCAATTTTAATTATAAAAACTTGTAAATAAATAAAATAAAAATGGATTTTTAAATAACAATGATAATAAAAATTGGCAACTCTTAACTTTTATATTAAAGAGTACTTAGGTAATATACAAGATTTACATGATATATATCAATCAATATGTAATCTTTATACTTTATATTATTTCTAGTTTTCATTTTAATAATAAATTTTTGTGTAGTAAAGTAGCAATAAATTGCTTTTCACTAGGACTTGTAATGTATATAGAAAACAGTTTTAATATATATAGAAAACAATAATAATATTGTTACAAATTTCGAAAAATAGTAAACTACACAACAAAAATTTATTTTATATTATTTTAATTAATTGAATTTTTAGCTGTCCATACAACTATTTCGAATATTGCCAAATACCTATCATCAGTGGTCTTGAAAATATTTTTTATATTTAATTATTCGTAAGAAATTGTTGAAACTGCAAGCAGCAGGAATTTAACTCGTGCCCTGCCAAATTTGAAGTTTAGAGTCAGCGCTTCTTAACTTACTGATCCAAAGCCGTACTTGGATGACTTTTATATTCGCACATTTTTCTGGAGTTTTGTTCATTTGCTGTGAAAGTTTATTCACTTGCTGTGTTTATATTAAAACGAAATCATAAACCAGCTGTGGAATAATTTAATCAATTAATTATATTTATTTATAATTGTTATAATTCAATATTATTCTGTTTGTAGAACCATTATTTGTTGCATGCTTCTATAATAATATATAATAATAATGTATAATATTTTAAAGGATTTAATTAATATATAATTTATTTTTGTTTTTATAAAATAATGAAAAATTTTATCAATGCGCTACGCAATGACCCCATAATGTGATACTATAATTGATCACATTTAGATAGCTATATATATACTATATCTATATTTGTGGTTTTTGTAACTTCAACTATCTTAAGAAATATTTCAAAATAGAATTAGTTAATTTAAATGATATGAAATGTATTGTCCGCGGGCATATTTAGGTGCAATTTAATTTAAGTTACTAGGCATATTGCAGATGCGAAATTTGAAAGAAATTTTGACATTGGCATAAATAAATATTTTTTTTTCCCTTTAATTCAATTCATCAAATTTTTTGTTTTTGTTAATGACTATGAATGGAATGGAATATTTATAAGATGCAAAGATTGCATAATGAATTGTGTGAATTGTTAAGTTGACACTTAATTTAACTTTAATTGTTTTTTAATAGAAAGAGTTGAAATTTAATGCTTTGCATAATAAAAGCCACCAAATTTAAGTTAACAAACATTTTAAAGTATTTTAAAAGTATTTCTTTTTAACGCCTGCGAGAAAAATTCGGCTTAAATATAAAAAATAAGAAAAAAGCTGTGCAAAATTATTCAAAATTTAACAGTTTTTTGTTCGTGGCAAAGCTCAAGGCGTACAAAATGTTAACGTGAGTTTTAACGCCACTTGACCAATATAATCCAAATTTTTGCTATTTTTTTCTTTTTTTAAATAATATACATCTTTTTAAACGATTTTTTATTATATTACAAAAGTGTTAACAGTATTGGTAAGACTCATCTGGCAGTGTCTTAAATTGGCCTAAGCCAACGAAGTATTTCAAATCATTAATAACTCTTTTTCAACGACAGCTATTAAAGTTTTATAATAGAAGTGGCAGTATATGCTAAAAATAAATATTTTTGTTTAAATATATACAAAAGTTGTTAATTAATTTCGCATTATTAAATAACAATAAATAAAATTATTATTGGTCAAAGTTTTAAAAAAATTGAAAACTTTTTAATTAAGTTTTTATTAAATTAATAAAAAATTTGAAACAAGTTAAGTGCTTTCACTTGTTTGTTAAAATTGTTCTAAAATTGTTTGCTGATAAGAACTGAAATATCTTTAATATAAATAACACTGAAAACAATGAAACTCACAACACATCTTTGTGATTTTTTTGGTAAAATACTGGAACAGTTGCCAATATGCAAAAAGGTTTTTATATTACTTCCCAATATAGTTCTACATAACCTGTATAAATATTATATATTTTTATTTATTTACAGTATCACTTATTGCAATCTTGCTTGTGGCATGCATTGCCTTTGCTGCTGCTGGTAAAGCACGTTATCATGGTCAGGACATCTATGCCGAACCAGACTGCTCTATTGTGAGCGACTATTCACGTATGTTCCGCGATATCTCAGATCCAACACACTACTGGATTTGCCCAGAAGGACAAGAGAAGGCTGATTACATACAATGCCCACCAAATTATGCTTTCATGGAGAAAGAACAAATGTGTGTAGTCTGGGAGAGTTGGCATTGGGTTGAACCTTACACAAAATAAATTCTGTTCTAACAAAATGTCAATTAGATTGAATTGATTGATGTATAAGAAATGCAATAAACCTTATCAAAATAAATAATGGCAAAAAAAAAAAATTAAAACACAAACATTCCTTCATGGTTTTGAGTACACCTTATCTTATTTTTAATTTATTTTTGATTAAAATTGATAGACACATCAAATGATGGCACAAAAAAGGTCAGAAGCGCTTGACACTTGAGTTTTGGCAACAAAAATGCTATTTAATTCGGAAAAATGGAAAGGGCACGTTCAACATTTCTAGTGACTAGATGTATATATACATCAATAAATTGATATTGGAAAGTAAATCAAGAGAAATTACATCAAAGTAGATTTATGTAAATAATTAATATGATACTTTAATTTCATGTCTATAGTCAGTGTGATTGATTGTCAGTTCAGTGTACATTATTGACAAAAATGTTCAATTCTGATGTTAACTAAGTTTGTATGAAATACATTATATTAATTAATTTTCTTTCTTTTGAAAATTGTTAATTTTAATCATCAAAGATTTATCTTAATAGGTTAAAATAGTAACAATTTACTTGTAAAACTGCATTTTAATCGATGATAGCATACTTAATAATAAATTTGTTGAATAATTAATTTTATAGATATGCTTTAAAATATTTTATTTAAACTATTCAAACATTTAATGACATTTATTTTTAATTTATACCCTTCAATTAAGAATTTCTTTCAATTTATCAACAATATTATATGGATTGACATTTTTATTTAATTACTATCGAAAGTATTTCGGCTGCAGGTCTCATACTTATAGAATTTATCTTGCAAAAATAATATTTCATTTGTATATTTCTGGATATACGCTTTTTTGATAAAATTATCTTTTGAAAAAAAAGAACTTTTTTAAAAGTTAGAAGTAGTCGAATAGCAAAGAAAAGACAGGACAAAAATTTATTTAATTTATTTAAATTTAGCTCACCATACAACTCTGTTTCGAGTATTGTCACGTACTCATCATCAATGGTCTTAGGACATATTTGAATTTCTTTTTAATTAGTTTATAGTCCGTATATAATTTGTTTGGACTGCAAGTACCAGGCTTAGAACTCAAGCCTGTCAAATTAAAAGCTATGACTAATCGTGTTTTTCCGCAAGTAACCAAGGCTGCACAAACTTTTAATACTCAAATTCCAGGTTTTTTGTTGTCACTTTTTTATTTTTAAGTGATACTTGCTTTTGCCTTGCTTTTAAATTAGAACGAGCTTATTAACTACAGCTTTATTTGGGAACACAACTTCAACTAATTGAACTTTTCTTTGCTTTTCGACTGCTTTTAACTTTTAAATAGTTTGTTTTCGTCATTAAAATGCATCACTCTACGCTCCTCAAATCAAAATACGC